ATCGAGTTGTCTCTCCTAGATGGGTTGCTGTCCCCAGCTATCGAGTTGTCTCTCCTAGATGGGTTGCTGTTCCCAGCTATCGAGCCTCATCACCCCTGGTTTAAACTCGAGACTTCGTTTTTAAGCAACCACGAGCTCTACCCGCCCCGACCACGCCAAACCTTTAGTACCAAAATGACATGTGAAACATGACATGACATGTAAGACATGACATGACATAACATTACACGCCCACTTATATAATGTTTCTACAAAAGTCTAGTACCATGTTGAACTGAACTCAACCAATAGTTCACATGTCCGCACTCCCCCTGTACCCCCCCCCCCCCCCGTGCAGAAAATGGTGCGCCCATGTTGAAGTGAGATGAGAGGGTGCTGACAGTTGATCTGACCAAACTCGTCACACAAGGACCGTTGTCCAGAGTTTGTGGCCACTGGGATTAACCCACATTAGGGGATTAGGGGATTAGGGGTGCGGGGAGGGGGTTGGATAGTCGCAGGACACATTCTCCATGAATGACAATATTTTAAACAATATTTATTGATACATAATTTATAAACGACATTTTTTTTTTGCCGTGACTTTGTCAGTTATGGCTTTATGTCTGGTGACTTTTTATCTTGTGACTTTATGTCCCGTGACTTTATGTCCCGTGACTTTATGTCCCAGTGACTAAATGTCCAACCGACCCCCCCCCCCCCCCCCCCCACCCTCCCATCCTTGTGGCGAGCCGTGTCGTCCAGATCAAACAAACACGTCCAGAATGTCACGTGTGTCGGCTGGGCCTAGCTTCTGATGACGTCATACCATCGTGAACCAAAGCCATCTAAGGGAACCCAGTACAAGCTGACATCCACCGCTTTCTTCTAAACTTAATTGTTAATTTAAAAAAAAATTAATATCGACCAATCAAGAAAGCTAAAGATTTGCTTTAAATACTTTAATCTCCACGAAAGCACCAATTTATGATGTGTGTTTGTTTGTCTATGTATGTGTCTGTGTGTCTGTGAATAGAGTTGAAGACGCCAGCAGCACCAAGGTGTGTCAGCAGCCACTATTTACCTACCATGACGCAGGAGGAATCAATCCATCGACACTTGAACGACCCGTCTTGGGAAGAAATGATTGCACATTTGTTTGAATAACGTCACCCTTCTATTTATACATTTCATACCGTGTGCTCATTTAAGATCTAGTCCAGGTTCATAAAATCTACATCGCTACAAGCCCTATTGAAAGCTGATGCTAAGTTAAAACATATTGGGTAGCAATACATTACATCATGGCGCCCACCAGCTGATGACCCAATGAATAACAAGGAAGTCAGATTTCTTAATATTTTTATTGGTTTGTTCAATGATTCGTTATAAAAACAGACAGGTCTACAGTACTAGGGGGTGTAAAGACAATCAAGTGTGGAACGACTAGTGAGCTCTATTTGTCACCTGATGGCCAACGGACATACTAAGGCCACTGTTAGTCCACGGCCAACACCGTGGCCTCTGTAAGCCCATGGCCCTGTGGCCACTGTAAGCCCACGGCCAAACTGTGGCCACTGTAAGCCCATGGCCCTGTGGCCACTGTAAGCCCACGGCCAACACTGTGGCCACTGTAAGCCCACGGCCCTGTGGCCACTGTAAGCCCATGGCCCACATCATCCAGTGAACACCCAGGGCCCACAGCATCTAATGACCGCCCATGGCCACCGACAATGGGGCAGGGCTGGGCTGGGTGGAGCTATGACATGAGACGTAATGTTGACAAGGTTGAGTGCAAATGTAGTAGTGGTGTAATGTAGCGAGAACATTGAGATTAGTTAGATCACTTAAAAAAGCATTCATATCGTACAGTTGCATCAATGAATCAATGTTAAGAGAAACCATTGGTGGTTGAATTAATTTCAAGTAACAGCAACAATACAGATTTTATGTTTATCTGTATCAGGCTTTAGGGGTTTAAACTTTATATGTGTATTAGACTTTTTGGGTATTTAATTTTTGGCTAAATATGGTCGTAATAATAAAGTTATGAAGGGATATATAATTGTGGAGGTATATAATCTTACGTTATTGAAGTGGTCTGGTTTAAACTACCATCGTATAGTCAATAAAAATATCTGGACAAATAATGTTTAACGCACCTCATAATCTGGACATACAATTGATAACATACACCTTATAATTTGTACATAAAATTGTTAGCGTACATCCCATAATCTGAACATAAATTAAGAACATACATCCCATAATCTGAACATAAATAGAGAACATACATCCCATAATCTGAACATAGTTGACAACATGCATCCCATAATCTGACCATAAATAGAGAACATACATCCCATGATCTGAACATAAATAGAGAACATACATCCCATAATCTGAACATAGTTGAGAACATACATCCCATAATCTGAACATAAATAGAGAACATACATCCCATAATCTGAACATAGTTGAGAACATACATCCCATAATCTGAACATAAATAGAGAACATACACCCCATAATCTGAACATAAATAGAGAACATACATCCCATAATCTGAATATAGTTGACGACATACATCCCATAATCTGACCATAAATAGAGAACATACATCCCAAGATCTGAACATAAATAGAGAACATACAGCCCCAAATTTTCTGAACATAGTTGAGAACATACATCCCATAATCTGAACATAAATAGAGAACATACATCCCATAATCTGAACATAGTTGAGAACATACATCCCATAATCTGAACATAAATAGAGAACATACATCCCATAATCTGAACATAAATAGAGAACATACATCCCATAATCTGAACATAGTTGACAACATACATCCCATAATCTGACCATAAATAGAGAACATACATCCCAAGATCTGAACATAAATAGAGAACATACAGCCCACATTTTCTGAACATAGTTGAGAACACACATCCCATAATCTGAACATAAATAGAGAACATACATCCCATAATCTGAACATAGTTGAGAACATACATCCCATAATCTGAACATACATAGAGAACATACATCCCATAATCTGAACATAAATTGAAAACATACAAAAAATTCTAAAGGCACGGATGTAACAAATATGGTTACCGCCGGTAGAAACTGTTAACTTACAGCGTGATAACAATGTAATCAAGGTCTTACATAGTGAGAACTATGTAATCAAGGTCTTACATAGTGATAACTATGTAATCAAAGTAATACGCCTTCACACTAGCGACCGGAGTACCACGTGACAATAACTAGAGGCTGCCTAATTGGACAACCCCATTTAACTACAGGAGACAACCCAACCACACGATACAACAGTAGACAACCAAATAGGCAATCGTACAACCACAAGGGCAACCACATGAGAACACTACATATGTCATCATTAAAATATGCACAATAGAAGCATATACATATATATATATATATATATATATATATATATATATATATATATATATATATATATATATATATATATATATATATATATATATATATATATATATATATATATATATATATATATATATACTACATCATACTGTATATTTTTTGTATAATAACAATGGCTCAAAAATTGGTTTAGAATAAACTAACATATAACAGTGAAACAACATTGACATATATACAGTGTATACAAAGTAATAAATACGTGAATAATGCAGTTTACATTCTATAATATATTGCACTTGATAACAAAGCCAGTAAGAGACGAAGTATGTACATGACTTATGCTACACCAGCTAGCCTGACCATTCTTAGATGTCTCCAATCAAACTTTTCACTGGAATTCATTGGCAGGTTTGACGTAATCTCGTGACTAGATTCCTCATCAAAACTTGAGATTAATATTTACAACAAAGTTACTAGCTTACGTACAGAATAATATTTACAACAAAGTTACTAGCTTACTTACAGAATAATATTTACAACAAAGGTACTAGCTTACATACAGAATAATATTTACAACGACGTTACTAATTACATAGAGAAGTAATGAAAGGATTGAACTTAAACATGATTCAACAAAGCTTGTGTGCCATAATCAGTAAGATTGGCATTATGGAAAATTCGTCACAAAGGAAATGTACGAATAAAATTTGTAATTATTAAGTTTCCAGTTTAGTCAACATGGGACAGACGTGGGGCAGACGTGGACAGTGGCCATTCAAGGGGAAAAAAGACCTTGATGGTTAAAGCTTAAGCTAGGCTCTACAGCAGGGGTCTCCAAACTTTTCAGTCCGAGGGCCGCATTAAGTATCAAATTTCAGTTCGGGGGCCAGATTCTTCCAGGCATGTCTTTGATTTTTCTGGGCAAAGTTCCTCAGCCATCACAAACAAACGTTTTTTTCCGTGGACAAAAAGATCTCCGCGGGCCGGATAAGAGGACCTCGCGGGCCGCATGCGGCCCGCGGGCCGTAGTTTGGAGACCCCTGCTCTACAGTTTTAGCTAATTTTATACTTAACTCTTGACTCTAACGAATATTTAAGGTGTTTCAAGATTCTCATTTATTTGTATCTTAAATAAAATAAACAAATAAGATAACCTACCCATTTTTCGATGTCAATAAAAATATTTTTGATAAATGAAAATTAGTCAATAAATTAATTATTTCAAGAGAAGTAACCCTAAATATTGTTTTATTTTACTTTATCCTCGAGAGTTACTACCCCTTATTGGTACAGTAAAATGACTGCACCGATTGCCCTGCTAGTCTGAGAATATTTTAAAACTTTGATGACTAAATTGCATAGAGATAAAGAGGAAGTTTTTGTTTTTGTACAAATCACGTTGTCTACACAAGTCGACAACACACATACACATATTGTGTACTAGAACTGGTCTCTGATGAACACAACCAACTTTTATGAAGAAAATTACATCGACAAAAACATCGTTCACATCATCAACGATTATGTAATAGCTGCTAGTCTTCAAACATAATTAAATGGGCGTAATAAAGGCACCAGTGTGGCAGTCATTCAATCTGCTATACACCTGTGTGTCAGCCACGTGACCTGTTATACACATGTGTGTCACGTCACCTGCTATACACCTGTGTGTCACCTCCTATACACCTGTGTGTCACGTGACCGGCTATACACCTGTGTGTCAGTCATGTGACCTGCTATACACCCGTCTCAAAGAGCTGCGCGTTCTGTGGTTTGGGCAACATCAGGGACTTGCCGATTGGCTTGGACGTGTACCAGAACGAGGCCGATGAGTCAGACATGTAGGCCAGATCATCGGAGTCACATGACGCCTTAAACTCGGGGGGAGGGGCGGGATATCCCAGAAGGTCCTCCGGGGCTTCTAGACTGTTCTGGAAGGTGAACATGGGCCTGGCGGGCGTGTCGTCCATGTAGTCCTTGTAGTCCCAGCGCGGGATCTTGACCAGCTCCGGCTGACCGGCTAGAACCGGCTGACCGGCCAGAACCGGCTGACCGGCCAGAACCGGCTGGTCTGGGATCGTCAGTTTGTTCAGGTTGTCGTAGTTGGGCTCGTCCAGGTCATCGGTCACGTGGTTCTTGTTCTCCATCGATTCTTCAGACTCGGCGTTCAGCGGCGTTACCATAGCAACGGGCTGGGAGAAGGTGACGCTTTTGCTGCGTTTGCCGAGTGGGCTCTTGGGGCCCGAGCTGATGAGGACGGCCTTTCTGTTGGTGGGCAGAGTGGTGTGCCCCTGCTTCATGTAGTAGGGGTCAAGGTCGGTGCAGGTGTGGAGAGGCTTGACGAACCTCAGGGACAGGTCCCCGGGGTAGTAGACCTCGCGGTACGACCTCTGGGACAAGAGGGGCTGGTTCTGTACTGAGGGCGGGGGCGTGGATATGCCCAAGGGGAGGGGCGGGCTGGGCGTGGGGTCACGATGTACTCGGTACTCCTCTGCCCGGGACAGCGTGGTGAAACCGTTGGGCCGGCGCTGGCTGGCCACGGCTCCCTCGTCGGTCAGCGCCGCCATTTTCATGGGGGACCTGTTGATAGTAGGTAGGTGGTCATCGTCAAAGTCATATCTACAGTAGGAGGCCAGGTCGAGGGGCTCGGAATTAACCGCTGGATACAGTTCTAAGGGCTTCCTCGCCTGTTTGTCTTTGCCTATTCTGTTAAGAGAATATCACATGCACTTTATGTTCCACGGTTACCAAGACATCGGAATCACATATATTCTACTTTCTACTTTAGATGTCACACATATTCTACTTTCTACTTTAGATGTCACATATATTCTACTTTCTACTTTAGCTGTCACATATATTCTACTTTCTACTTTAGATGTCACCCATATTCTACTCTCTACTTTAGATGTCACATATATTCTACTTTCTACTTTAGATGTCACATATATTCTACTTTCTACTTTAGATGTCACATATATTCTACTTTCTACTTTAGATGTCACATATATTCTACTTTCTACTTTAGATGTCACATACATTCTACTTTCTACTTTGGATGTCACATATATTCTACTTTCTACTTTAGATGTCACATACATTCTACTTTCTACTTTAGATGTCACATATATTCTTTCTACTTTTGATGTCACATATATTCTACTTTCTACTTTAGATGTTACTTACATTCTACCATATAAATGTCACATATATTCTACCATATAAATGTCACATATATTCTACCATATAAATGTCACATATATTCTACCTTCTGCTTTAGATGTCACATAAATTCTACTTTCTACTTTAGATGTCACATATTTTCTACTGTAGGTGTCACATATTCTACCATCGAAATGTCACATGCATTTTACTATCTACTTTAGATATCACACATATTCTACCATCTATATTAAATATCACTCACATTCTGTTATTTATTTTAAATATCATACAAATTCTACCATCTATCGTAGATGTCACATATATCCTGCCCTATAAATGTCACATATATTCTACCATCTAAATGTCACATGCATTATACTGTCGTGTACTAAGTTTGTTAGCCCAATGACCATTGGTCAGAAAAACTTACTTTCTACAGTGTAGCGCCATAGCAACAATGACGATAGCAATCAGTAAAAATCCTGCCGCAACTATTCCTCCAATGATGGCAGCTAGAAATAGACATGTAACATAAATATTAAAAAAACTATTGGTTATTTTAGTAGTAGTCTTTAGCAACAAGGCCACACCTCCCCTAGTACTAGGCCATACCTCCCTTAACACTAGACCACACCTCCCCTAGCACTAGTCCACACCTCCCCTAGACCCAGTCCACACCTCCCCTAGTACTAGGCCATACCACCCTAGCACTAGTCAACACCTCCCCTAGCACTAGTCCAAACCTCCCCTAGTACTAGGCCATACCTCCCTTAACACTAGGCCACACCTCCAATAGCACTCGTCCACACCTCACATAGCACTAGACCACACCTCCCCTAGCACTAGTCCACACCTCCCCTAGCACTAGTCCAAACCTCCCCTAGTACTAGGCCATACCTCCCTTAACACTAAACCACACCTCCACTAGCGCTAGTCCACACCTCCCATAGCCAATGTTCCCGCTAAGCTGCGCGGTTGCGCGACCGCGCAGTAGTTTTGAGCTGCCGCGCAGTGATTGTGTAAAATAAATATATACTTGAATAAGACTTTAAGAAGAGCGCGCACAGAAAATAAATTTTGCACACTAGCTTTTCCCCCCTTAGAGGGAATATTGCCCATAGCGCTAGCGCTAGAAGTTACTTTAAAATATATACCGAGGTCCGAGTTGAGAGCGTGTGAGCTGGCCGCCACTGAGACGTTGGTGCTGTTAGATGGCGCCACTGTCTCGTTCTTCACAGTCCCCTCCCCCACTGGGTTCTTCTCAGTCTGGATGGCCAACTCCCTGGCTTCAGCCTCGTCCTTGATCTGGGTCAACAGGTTGTCTAGTGCCTGCCCACACAGGACCTCCACTAGACCATCGGCGTCATTGGCTGGTGGGTTAAATACATGTGTTAGAGTCATGGACTGGTGGGTTAAATACATGTGTTAGAGTCATGGACTGGTGGGTTAAATACATGTGTTAGAGTCATGGGCTGGTGGGTTAAATACATGTGTTAGAGTCATTGGCTGGTGGGTTAAATACATGTGTTAGAGTCATGGGCTGGTTGGTTAAATACATGTGTTACAGTCATTGGCTGGTGGGTTAAATACATGTGTTAGAGTCATTGGCTGGTGGGTTAATACATGAGTTAGATTCATGGGCTGGTGGGTTAATACATGTGTTAGGTTCATGGGCTGGTGGGTTAAATACATGTGTTAGAGTCATTGGCTGGTGGGTTAAATACATGTGTTAGAGTCATCGGCTGGTGGGTTAAATACATGTGTTAGAGTCATGGTGGGTTAAATACATGTGTTAGAGTCATGGTGGGTTAAATACATGTGTTAGAGTCATGGGCTGGTGGGTTAAATACATGTGTTAGAGTCATGGGCTGGTGGGTTAAATACATGAGTTAGAGTCATGGACTGGTGGGTTAAATACATGTGTTAGAGTCATGGACTGGTGGGTTAAATACATGTGTTAGAGTCATGGGCTGGTGGGTTCAATATATGTGTTAGAGTCATGGGCTGGTGAGTTAAATACATGTGTTAGAGCATGGGCTGGTGGGTTAAATACATGTGTTACAGTCATGGGCTGGTGGGTTAAATACATGTGTTAGAGTCATGGACAGGTGGGTTAAATACATGTGTTAGAGTCGTTGTGGGTAAATACATGTGTTAGAGTCATGGGCTGGTGGGTTAAATACATGTGTTAGAATCATGGGCTGGTGGGATAAATACATGTGTTAGAGTCATGGCCTAGTGAGTTAAATACATGTGTTAGAGTCATGGGCTGGTGGGTTAATACACGTGTTAGAGTCATTGTGGGTAAATACATGTGTTAGAGTCATTGGCTAGTGGGTTTGTGTTAGAGTCATGGGCTGGTGAGTTAAATACATGTGTTAGAGTCATGGGCTGGTGAGTGAAATAAATGTGTTAGAGTCATTGGCTGGTGGGTTAAATACATGTGTTACAGTCATGGGCTGGTGGGTTAAATACATGTGTTAGAGTCATGGGCTGGTGGGTTAATACATGTGTTAGAGTCATTGTGGGTAAATACATGTGTTAGAGTCATTGGCTAGTGGGTTTGTGTTAGAGTCATGGGCTGGTGAGTGAAATACATGTGTTAGAGTCATGGGTTGGTGGGTTAATACATGTGTTAGAGTCATGGGCTGGTGGGTTTGTGTTAGCGTCATAGGCTGGTGGGATAAATACATGTGTTAGTGGTTGGATAAAATATATGTATCCCAACTTGTATAACGAGCTCACGTTTGACTTGTAGAAAAATGTAGCCCAGCCCCTCCACGGGCAGCACGTTTAGGGTCAGGGTGACGTTCTCAGCTGAGCGGCTGTAGACAGACTTGAAACCATACAGGCCGATGGAAGAACACTGCAGGGTCTTCTGGTAGGACATGGGGTCCTGTATGCTCAGGGTTCTGGTACATTCCATACCGCTGTGTCTACTGGCCAGTAGGACATCGATGGTGTGGACGCTGATACCCTGGGGATGGATGTTGGATTAGTGCAATCTGGGTGTTGGATTAGTGCACCCTGGATGTTGGATTAGTGCACCCTGGATGTTGGATTAGTGCATCCTGGACCTTGGATTAGTGTACCCTGGATGTTGGATTAGTGCACCCTGGATGTTGGATGTTGGATAAGTGCACCCTGGGATGGATGTTGGATTAGTGCACCCTGGATGTTGGATTAGTGCACCCTTGGATGGATGTTGGATTAGTGCATCCTGGATGTTGGATTAGTGCAACCTGGATGTTGGATTAGTGCACCCTGGGATGGATGTGGATTAGTGCACCCTTGGATGGATGTTGGATTAGTGCACCCTGGATGTTGGATTAGTGCATCCTGGATGTTGAATTAGTGCACCCTTGGATGGATGTTGGATTAGTGCACCCTGGATGTTGGATTAGTGCACCCTGGATGTTGTATGAGTGCACCCTGGATGTTGTATGAGTGCACCCTGGGATGGATGTTATATGAGTGCACCCTGGGATGGATGTTATATGAGTGCACCCTGTGATGGATGTTATATGAGTGCACCCTGGGATGGATGTTATATGAGTGCACCCTGGATGTTGTATGAGTGCACCCTGGGATGGATGTTATATGAGTGCACCCTGGATGTTGTATGAGTGCACCCTGGGATGGATGTTGTATGAGTGCACCATGGATGTTGTATGAGTGCACCCTGGGAACGATGTTGTATGAGTGCACCCTGGGATGGATGTCATATGAGTGCACCCTGTATGTTGCATGAGTGCACCCTGGGATGGATGTTGTATGAGTTCACCCTGGGATGGATGTTGTATGAGTTCACCCTGGGATGGATGTTATATGAGTGCACCCTGGATGTTGTATGAGTGCACCCTGGATGTTGTATGAGTGCACCCTGGGATGGATGTTATATGAGTGCACCCTGGATGTTGTATGAGTGCACCCTGGGATGGATGTTATATGAGTGCACCCTGGATGTTATATGAGTGCACCCTGGATGTTGTATGAGTGCACCCTGGATGTTGTATGAGTGCACCCTGTGATGTTGTATGAGTGCACCCTGTGATGGATGTTGTATGAGTGCACCCTGTGATGGATGTTATATGAGTGCACCCTGGATGTTGTATGAGTGCACCCTGGATGTTGTATGAGTGCACCCTGGGATGGATGTTATATGAATGCACCCTGGATGTTGTATGAGTGCACCCTGGATGTTGTATGAGTGCACCCTGGGATGGATGTTGTATGAGTGCACCCTGGATGTTGTATGAGTGCACCCTGGGATGGATGTTGTATGAGTGCACCCTGTGATGGATGTTATATGAGTGCACCCTGGATGTTGTATGAGTGCACCCTGGATGTTATATGAGTGCACCCTGGATGTTGTATGAGTGCACCCTGGATGTTGTATGAGTGCACCCTGGGATGGATGTTGTATGAGTGCACCCTGGGATGGATGTTGTATGAGTGCACCCTGTGATGGATGTTATATGAGTGCACCCTGGATGTTGTATGAGTGCACCCTGGATGTTGTATGAGTGCACCCTGGGATGGATGTTGTATGAGTGCACCCTGTGATGGATGTTATATGAGTGCACCCTGGATGTTGTATGAGTGCACCCTGGATGTTGTATGAGTGCACCCTGGGATGGATGTTGTATGAGTGCACCCTGGATGTTGTATGAGTGCACCCTGGGATGGATGTTATATGAGTGCACCCTGGGATGGATGTTGTATGAGTGCACCATGGATGTTGTATGAGTGCACCCTGTGATGGATGTTGTATGAGTTCACCCTGGGATGGATGTTGTATGAGTTCACCCTGGGATGGATGTTATATGAGTGCACCCTGGATGTTGTATGAGTGCACCCTGGATGTTGTATGAGTGCACCCTGGGATGGATGTTATATGAGTGCACCCTGGATGTTGTATGAGTGCACCCTGGGATGGATGTTATATGAGTGCACCCTGGATGTTATATGAGTGCACCCTGGGATGGATGTTGTATGAGTGCACCCTGGGATGGATGTTATATGAGTGCACCCTGGGATGGATGTTGTATGAGTGCACCCTGGATGTTGTATGAGTGCACCCTGGATGTTGTATGAGTGCACCCTGGATGTTGTATGAGTGCACCCTGGGATGGATGTTATATGAGTGCACCCTGGATGTTGTATGAGTGCACCCTGGGATGGATGTTATATGAGTGCACCCTGGATGTTGTATGAGTGCACCCTGGATGTTGTATGAGTGCACCCTGTGATGTTGTATGAGTGCACCCTGGATGTTGTATGAGTGCACCCTGGGATGTTGTATGAGTGCACCCTGTGATGGATGTTGTATGAGTGCACCCTGTGATGGATGTTATATGAGTGCACCCTGGATGTTGTATGAGTGCACCCTGGATGTTGTATGAGTGCACCCTGGGATGGATGTTATATGAATGCACCCTGGATGTTGTATGAGTGCACCCTGGATGTTGTATGAGTGCACCCTGGGATGGATGTTGTATGAGTGCACCCTGGATGTTGTATGAGTGCACCCTGGGATGGATGTTGTATGAGTGCACCCTGGGATGGATGTTGTATGAGTGCACCCTGGGATGGATGTTGTATGAGTGCACCCTGGGATGGATGTTATATGAGTGCACCCTGGGATGGATGTTGTATGAGTGCACCCTGGATGTTTTATGAGTGCACCCTGGATGTTGTATGAGTGCACCATGGATGTTGTATGAGTGCACCCTGGGATGGATGTTATATGAGTGCACCCTGGATGTTGTATGAGTGCACCCTGGGATGGATGTTATATGAGTGCACCCTGGATGTTGTATGAGTGCACCCTGGATGTTGTATGAGTGCACCCTGTGATGTTGTATGAGTGCACCCTGTGATGGATGTTGTATGAGTGCACCCTGTGATGGATGTTATATGAGTGCACCCTGGATGTTGTATGAGTGCACCCTGGATGTTGTATGAGTGCACCCTGGGATGGATGTTATATGAATGCACCCTGGATGTTGTATGAGTGCACCCTGGATGTTGTATGAGTGCACCCTGGGATGGATGTTGTATGAGTGCACCCTGGATGTTGTATGAGTGCACCCTGGGATGGATGTTGTATGAGTGCACCCTGGGATGGATGTTGTATGAGTGCACCCTGGGATGGATGTTGTATGAGTGCACCCTGGGATGGATGTTATATGAGTGCACCCTGGGATGGATGTTGTATGAGTGCACCCTGGATGTTGTATGAGTGCACCCTGGATGTTGTATGAGTGCACCATGGATGTTGTATGAGTGCACCCTGGGATGGATGTTATATGAGTGCACCCTGGGATGGATGTTGTATGAGTGCACCCTGGATGTTGTATGAGTGCACCATGGGATGGATGTTGTATGAGTGCACCCTGGGATGGATGTTGGATTAGTGCACCCTGGATGTTGGATTAGTGCACCCTGAATGTTGAATGAGTGCACTCTGGGATGGATGTTGAATGAGTGCACTCTGGGATGGATGTTGGCTTAGTGCACCCTGTGATGGATGTTAAAGCGACATCAGGTACTGACCTCTGGGTTTGTTGTCCTCACCATACACTGACAGTTCATCCTCTCTGCCGGTGTTTTGATCTGGTCTGGGTATTCTCTGTTGGTGAGGTACAGGGCCTTGCCACGCTTGCTGTCGTTGGAGCATAGGATGGCGATATCTTCAACTGGCATGGGAGAGAATTGGTAGGATAACTTTTCTACTTTATTAAGTGTAACTATCTGCTTACTGGCGATAGTGTGATTAAACCTACCAGCTATAGTCTGACTAAACCTACCAGCTACAGTTTGACTAAACCTACCGTCTATAGTGTGACTAAACTATCGACTGTAGTGTAACTAAACCTACCATGACTCAACCTATAGACTGACGAAACCTACCAGCTATAGTGTGACTAAACCTATCGACTGTTGCGTGACTAAACCTACCAAGCTATAGTCTGACTAAACCTACCAAGCTATAGTGTGACTAAACCTACCAGCTATACATGAGTAGACTATAGTGAGGATGTCTGTATAGCTCTTAGAGCGACACGGGTCCTTGGTCCGTGTCCTCTCCACGGAGATGTCGCACTTCTGGTGACCTGAGCACTTGATGTTGTAGTTGGAGTACTTGCTGTCCTCGTCCATCATGCAGTCGGCGCTCGTGTGTTTGCAACAGTCGCTGGGGGTACTCACGTTATAGCGCCTGGTCGATACAGGTTTTACAGGTAAGTGAGGCGTTTGGTCGTTGTGTGAGTTGTGTGACGTGTTTGGTCGTTGTGTGAGTTGTGTGAGTTGTGTGAGTTGTGTGAGTTGTGTGAGTTGTGTGAGTTGTGTGAGTTGTGTGAGTTGTGTGACGTGTTTGGTCGTTGTGTGAGTTGTGTGAGTTGTGTGAGTTGTGTGAGTTGTGTGAGTTGTGTGAGTTGTGTGAGTTGTGTGACGTGTTTGGTCGTTGTGTGAGTTGTTTGACGTGTTTGGTCGTTGTGTGAGTTGTGTCAGTTGTGTGACGTGTTTGGTCGTTGTGTGAGTTGTGTGAGTTGTGTGAGTTGTGTGAGTTGTGTGAGTTGTGTGAGTTGTGTGAGTTGTGTGAGTTGTGTGAGTTGTGTGAGTTGTGTGACGTGTTTGGTCGTTGTGTGAGTTGTGTGAGTTGTGTGAGTTGTGTGAGTTGTGTGAGTTGTGTGATGTGTTTGATCGTTGTGTGAGTTGTGTGATGTGTTTGGTCGTTGTGTGAGTTGTGTGACATGTTTGGTCGTTGTGTGAGTTGTGTGAGTTGTGTGAGTTGTGTGACGTGTTTGGTCGTTGTGTGAGTTGTTTGACATGTTTGGTCGTTGTGTGAGTTGTGTGACATGTTTGGTCGTTGTGTGAGTTGTGTGACATGTTTGGTCGTTGTGTGAGTTGTGTGAGTTGTGTGAGTTGTGTGAGTTGTGTGACATGTTTGGTCGTTGTGTGAGTTGTTTGACATGTTTGGTCGTTGTGTGAGTTGTGTGACATGTTTGGTCGTTGTGTGAGTTGTGTGACATGTTTGGTCGTTGTGTGAGTTGTGTGAGTTGTGTGAGTTGTGTGAGTTGTGTGACATGTTTGGTCGTTGTGTGAGTTGTGTGAGTTGTGTGACATGTTTGGTCGTTGTGTGAGTTGTGTGACATGTTTGGTCGTTGTGTGAGTTGTGTGACATGTTTGGTCGTTGTGTGAGTTGTGTGAGGTGTTTGGTCGTTGTGTGAGTTGTTTGACATTTAGGTGTTTGACATTAAACAGTGAAGCAGTGTTGGATTGGTAAGGACACTATAACAGTACTCGACAATGACGGTGTGACAGTGATGACATGACATTGATGACATGACATTGATGACATGACATTGATGACATGACAGTGATGACGTGACAGTGACACTGAGATGACACTTACCCGCCTCTGCCACTGACACCCCTATAGGGTGGGCTGTTGACACACTCCGAGTTAGTTTTGACACCAAAAAAGATTCGCTTGATGGCGATCTGATGACCGTCTGGACATTTGGCTCGAATGGTTTGACCGTTACACCCACTGACCTGGATGTTGTGGCTAGCACGGACCACACCTGGGGATGTACAGGTCAGGTTAGGTGGGTTGGCAGTCAAAGGTCAGGTTAGATGGGTTGGCAGTCAAAGGTCAGGTTAGGTGGGTTGGCAGTCAAAGGTCAGGTTAGGTGGGTTGGCAGTCAAAGGTCAGGTTGGGTGGGTTGGCAGTCAAAGGTCAGGTTAGGTGGGTTGGCAGTCAAAGGTCAGGTTGGGTGGGTTGGCAGTCAAAGGTCAGGTTAGGTGTGTTGGCAGTCAAAGGTCAGGTTAGGTGGGTTGGCAGTCAAAGGTCAGGTTAGGTGGGTTGGCAGTCAAAGGTCAGGTGAGATGGGTTGGCAGTCAAAGGTCAGGTTAGGTGGGTTGGCAGTCAAAGGTCAGGTTAGGTGGGTTGGCAGTCAACGGTCAGGTTAGGTGGGTTGGCAGTCAAAGGTCAGGTTAGGTGGGTTGGCAGTCAGAGGTCAGGTTAGATGGGTTGGCAGTCAAAGGTCAGGTTAGATGGGTTGGCAGTCAAATGTCAGGTTAGATGGGTTGGCAGTCAAAGATCAGGTTAGATGGGTTGGCAGTCAAAGGTCAGGTTAGATGGGTTGGCAGTCAAAGGTCAGGTTAGATGGGTTGGCAGTCAAAGGTCAGGTTAGATGGGTTGGCAGTCAAAGGTCAGGTTAGGTGGGTTAGCAGTCAAAGGTCAGGTTAGGTGGGTTGGCAGTCAAAGGTCAGGTTAGATGGGTTGGCAGTCAAAGGTCAGGTTAGATGGGTTGGCAGTCAAAAGTCAGGTTAGATGGGTTGGCAGTCAAAGGTCAGGTTAGATGGGTTGGCAGTCAAAGGTCAGGTTAGATGGGCTGGCAGTCAAAGGTCAGGTTAGATGGGTTGGCAGTCAAAGGTCAGGTTAGATGGGTTGGCAGTCAAAGGTCAGGTTAGATGGGTTGGCAGTCAAAGGTCAGGTTAGATGGGTTGGCAGTCAAAGGTCAGGTTAGGTGGGTTGGCAGTCAAAGGTCAGGTTAGATGGGTTCGCAGTCAAAGGTCAGGTTAGATGGGTTCGCAGTCAAAGGTCAGGTTAGATGGGTTGGCAGTCAAAGGTCAGGTTAGATGGGTTGGCAGTCAAAGGTCAGGTTAGGTGGGTTGGCAGTCAAAGGTCAGGTTAGATGGGTTGGCAGTCAAAGGTCAGGTTAGGTGGGTTGGCAGTCAAAGGTCAGGTTAGGTGGGTTGGCAGTCAAAGGTCAGGTTAGATGGGTTGGCAGTCAAAGGTCAGGTTAGATGGGTTGGCAGTCAAAGGTCAGGTTAGATGGGTTGGCAGTCAAAAGTCCGGTTAGATGGGTTGGCAGTCAAAGGTCAGGTTAGGTGGGTTGGCAGTCAAAGGTCAGGTTAGATGGGTTGGCAGTCAAAGGTCAGGTTAGATGGGTTAGCAGTCTCATGTTAGATGGGTTGGCAGTCAAAGGTCAGGTTAGGTGGGTTGGCAGTCAAAGGTCAGGTTAGGTGGGTTGGCAGTCAAAGGTCAGGTTAGGTGGGTTGGCAGTCAAAGGTCAGGTTAGGTGGGTTGGCAGTCAAAGGTCAGGTTAGGTGGGTTGGCAGTCAAAGGTCAGGTTAGATGGGTTGGCAGTCAAAGGTCAGGTTAGGTGGGTTGGCAGTCAAAGGTCAGGTTAGGTGGGTTGGCAGTCAAAGGTCAGGTTAGATGGGTTGGCAGTCAAAGGTTAGGTTAGATGGGTTGGCAGTCAAAGGTCAGGTTAGATGGGTTGGCAGTCAAAGGTCAGGTTAGATGGGTTGGCAGTCAAAGGTCAGGTTAGATGGGTTGGCAGTCAAAGGTCAGGTTAGATGGGTTGGCAGTCTCAGGTTAGATGGGTTGGCAGTCAAAGGTTAGGTTAGATGGGTTGGCAGTCAAAGGTCAGGTTAGGTGGGTTAGCAGTCAAAGGTCAGGTTAGGTGGGTTGGCAGTCAAAGTCTGAGATACATTAGGATGCAATATGGCGTAGCTGAGGTTAACCTACCAGTAGAACTAACCAGGTTAACCTACCGGCAGACCTAACCACCCATAGAGTTACTTATTGGTTAACTAGGCAAGGAGTGATTAGTCAGAGCCGGGTTATTGTTTATGTTGTGGTAGAATATAGTGACGGGGTGGAGTAGGGGGAGCTAGATTACACTGGCATGTCTATCAGACACCGTTTGGTAAGAAAATATAAGGGGAGCCAGCCTCAAGATAAGGGCAGTAACCGCCGGGCAGGGGAAATAATCACGGCGTGCTAGACACTGGACGATAAAGGACGCACACGTCGTGGCTAACGAGGCTTTTGTTCATTTAACCACTCACAGAGGTTAATTTTAACCACACATAGAGGCTAGCTTTAACTACACATAGAGGCTAGCTTTAACCACACATAGAGGCTAGCTTTAACCAGACATAGAGGCTAACTTTAACCACACATAGAGGCTAACTTTAACCACACATAGAGGCTAACTTTAACCACACATAGAGGCTAACTTTAACCACACATAGAGGCTAACTTTAACCACACATAGAGGCTAACTTTAACCATTCATAGAGGCTAAATTTAACCACACATAGAAGCTAACTTTAACCACACATAGATGCTAACTTTAATCACCCATAGAGGCTAACTTTAACCACACATCGAGGATAACTTTAACCACACATAGAGGCTAACTTTAACCACACATAGAGGCTAACTTTAACCACTCATAGAGGCTAACTTTAACCACACATAGAGGCTAGTTGGTCTTTTGTTCCTTTAGTCCACAAATAAATACGAACAAGGCCACTGTTGTTTAACCCCACATTCAACCCCTAGTTAAGCCTAACTTAGAGCCCTCACTGGAGGTCTTTAATACATTAGGTTCAAGGAGATAATAGTTTTCTCTAAACGTTTGTGTACTTGATCATACAGAAAGGTCAGCTAGACGTGATCACTTGGACGTGATCCCGTAGACGTGATCTGCTAGACGTGATCATCTTAACGTGATTATGCTTTATTCAATCAGATTTCTTCACGCTGTCTTCACTAATGAGATGATACATAATTTAAGTGGTAATTAGTTTTTTTGTAATTTACAGCATGCCTTTCAGGCTATACAGCATCCCGCCAATCAATACATTATCGCATTGCTATTGAGATCAACATTGCCTCATTCATAATACACGCGCATTGTTTAATACAGATTCACACTGAGATGAAATGGTGAGTGACGGGGGAGGAGATTCAAATGACATGATATATATATATATATATATATATATATATATATATATATATATATATATATATATATATATATATATATATATGTGTGTGTGTGTGTGTGTGTGTGTGTGCACTAATATTAATCTGTGCATGCATATTGAAACGGATGCAAAAATAGAATTAAAGACAGCCGATTATAGCACGTGATATAAATGGCCGTAAAGAAGGAGGAAGCTATTCCGACAGGGGCGATAACCTCAACTCATTACCAGGAACCCCTGACATGACGAAACGAATACAGTGGGTTATCTCTCTTATCTGAGCAACATCCTGTCGGATCTCGCCCCTCCCTCTCCCCCCTCTCGCCCCCACTCCCCATACAACCTACCCTCCAGTTTTTTCCCGCTAGCCGTCCATACCATACAGTACATGAGAAATATACATGAGAGATATACATGTGCACATCTATTTTCTTATATTTTTGGACAAACTTTAAAAACATGTGAAATAAATAGAAAACATGTTTTAAGCAAAAAGAAGATAAGAAAAAAAATTAAGATATTTTTTTCAATCCTTTTTGTTTTCGGGACCATTTAAGAAAACATAAATTCTCTAATGTATTTTTAAATCTCGAATTATTTCATTAATTTAATTTCAAATCTTTCTCAATTAAAAGTAAAAAAAATCAAACATTTTGTGTGTGTAAAAAAATAAAAAAAATCACCAGAAAAACAGTCTATACGTTGTGATACATAAACTGGACGTTGTTTTCGGTATGTCCTACCGCCACTAGAGGTATAGGGATATGTCCCACAACCCTCATCATCAAAAGGATATGTCCTACCAACCTTATTTAAACGTAGGCCTATATGTCCTACCATCCACATCAATACACGTAGGTCTATACGTCCTACCGCCGCCATTAATACACGTAGGTCTATATGTCCTACCTTCCACATCAATACACGTAGGCCTATGTCCTACCATCCACATCAATACACGTAGGCCTATATGTCCTACCATCCACATCAATATACGTAGGTCTATATGTCCTTCCGCCCTCATCAATACAAGTAGGTCTATATGTCCTACCATCCACATCAATATACGTAGGTCTATATGTCCTACCATCCACATCAATACACGTAGGCCTATATGTCCTACCATCCACATCAATACACGTAGGTCTATATGTCCTACCATCCACATCAATACACGTAGGCCTATATGTCCTACCATCCACATCAATACACGTAGGTCTATATGTCCTACCATCCACATCAATACACGTAGGCCTATATGTCCTACCATCCACATCAATACACGTAGGTCTATATATCCTACCACCCTCTATAAAGCAGCTATATTGTCCTATATCTCTCCACCGAGTCCCCTGTAATGTAAAACATTCTCATCATGTGCACAATGCAGGGCTGCAAATCATAATAATAACCGCAGTAATTAAGCCTGGTCATTAAATGACAATTAATTAATCCCGGTAATATCACACGAGCGTGTGATTTTTGTTTTTATCGTTAGCGTATCGAGTGGGTAATTGTGACGTCAGAGCATGATTAATACTTGCCAAGTAGTTCACTGGGGCTCTATAACAGAGCCCAGCTATGCTAGCCCAGCTTCAATAGCCCAGCTACACTACACTAGCCCAGCTACACTAGCCCAGCTGCACTAGAACACTAGAATAGCCCAGCTACACTAGAATAGCCCAGCTACACTAGAATAGCCCAGCTACACTAGAATAGCCCAGCTATGCTAGCCCAGCTTCAATAGCACAACTACACTATAACCGCCCAGCTACACTAGAATAGCCCAGCT